ACTGTTTCTTGGAGATATTCTTAACTCGGGAAACTCTCACTGCAGAAGAAGAAGGGAGGGTGTTCAAGCAGGCAGGATTTATTTTACGGAAGTTGTAACTATGTCCCGTCTAGTCCATAGGAAGCCTCCTTCCCACACACACGCCGGAGAAGTGAAGGAAGTCACCCTGGAGTAAACGCCTTTAAGGGTTGGGTCTTTATTTGCCGCCCGGTTCGGAAGATTTCCGACTAGAATATGTGGCCTAACCACTGAGTTCAGCCTCAGGACGAGCCCGCCAGCAAATTAGCTACCGAACTACAATAATGTGAAAATATTACTAGGGATTCATTGGAAAGGGGCGGTGGTGGAGAGAAAACAAAAGCCCAGAAAGGAGATTTGGGGGGAGGAGAGAGAATTTTTGCAAATGCATGCAACTGTTTTTTTTAAATATTACCAGTGATTTTTTTAAAATCCCAAGTATGTTTGTAGATATTTATGTAATTCGTCTTGTGTTGGAGTAATGTGAAGTTCAGAGAACTGAGCTTAGGGAAGGCAGCCCCAAGGCCAGAAATAATAAAGAAGGACAGGACTGAAGTTTAGACTGTTTTTTAAAAGAGAGAGAGAATAAAATTCGGCACCCCGCCTCTACTGCCTTTCAGGACGTAAAGTCCGATTGCAGCCCAGAGGAACGAGGTGCTTAAGCAGTTGGTCTTCAGGTACTCTACGGAGAAACTTACAGGAAGTCAAGTTTGTTTTTTTTTAAAGCCGTCTCGGCCTTCTCAATTTTTTTTTAAATATGAAAATAATCTCTTTTTTTCAGTAGAAGTTTAGGATGTGACAGCATTGATTTCCCCAGAGTCTCTCTCTTCGTGTGTGTTGCTTTTGCTTTGACTTCTCTTCCCCCCCCCAGCTGTCATGTCCCCGAAAAAAAAAAAAACCAACCCAAAACAGAGTGTCTCCAGGAAACGCAGAGAACCGTTAAAAAGCATAGGCTTTCTTAGAATCAATTTGATCGCTTTTCCCTCGTTTGCGAGGGTAAGCGAACCCTAGAAAAGGGAAGGGTCAAAAGGGCGTGATGCTGCCGCCTCCTTCCACCGCAATGCCCCCCTCCCCGTCCGCTGCCGCTGCTCGGGGCAGGTGTGTGAGAAAGCGGCTAGCTGGGAGAGGATTTACACGCCCAGTGCCTTGGAGAGGGCAAAGGTTTCCAAGCGGCTTGAAGGAAGATGGAAAAGCGGTCATCCGCACTCTGTCCAGGAGCTGTCTTCCCACTGCCTGTAACTTTAGGGCACTTGTCTTTCCTTCGACTTGCGGGCGTATGGGATACATTCTATTTTACGGAACTACCCACATAATAAAATTATTTTTAAAAAAATTAACAAAGGTCGATTAGGAACATTTAGGGTAGGAATCCAGGCAGGTTCTTATTTTCAGTTGGAATGGGTCCTAAAAATAGAGAGAAGGTAGCGAGTGACTTAGTAGTATTACTGCCATTATGACCTCTTGGAGGAAAATTATGGGTTTCGTTTACCTAGTCATTTTTTTTCCCCTTCTGCCGGGAAGAGCTTGTTCGGGGACACTAGCCAAAGGAACGAGGTTCGTCTGCTGTTGTCGCTGCCACCTTTAGATTGAAAGAGCTGCCTCTTGGTGAAAGGGTCGTGACAAGGCTACGCACACAGAGAAATAACGCAGCGAAGGCGGCGATCAGTGTTCTTAAAACTTGGCCAGAAACCTTTCCAGTAATTGACAGATGAGGGACATGAGAGAGCTAAAGAGAGAGGCATTTGCATGTAATCTGGCCGCACGTGGGCATTTTCCGAGAGAAAGGGTGGTTTTGAGAAACACAGCAAAACAAAACCGGCGACGAAAGCCAAGGGTCACCTCTGTGCAAAAGAGTGAGGGACAAGCAGGAAGGGGAATCAGAAACCCGTCCGATGCTGAACTGGGCAGATCCCGTTTGCCGACTCGAAGATTCGTGTCAGTTCTCTGGGAGAGCCTTCTGAATCCGGATGAGATTGACAAACGTGTGAATTAATTCCTCGCCGCCCTTCTGGAGATTTTTCCCCTCGCCCCCTCCCTGTTAATCCGACGCCGGCTGCTCTCTATGCGCATCTGATAAACCCCATATCCCCTTTTCTCCAAAGGGCCGGAGGCTTGCTTGTTTGTTTTCGTTGTTGCTGTTTTTTTAAAGAAGGAGACATAAAACCAAGCGACTGGCATTCCAGCTCCCCTCCCCGCCTTCTTCGATTTCTTTTTTGGGCGACTGAGCCTGTCCTTAGCTTCGTTTCGGTCTAACTCTGCACCGGGCTTGGCTCCCCTCCTCTTCTAACTCGCTGTTCTGGGGAGAACTGCGCCCTAAATTAGGCAAGAAAATAACTTTCCGGTGGGGTGCCAAATAAAGAAGGCTTTAAAAATCAGGAGAAGAGCTTCCTTAATCTCTGCCCTCCTCCAGTGAGAGGCACAAAGTACCCATAGCGTCGGCTGACTTGCGGCTCGTGAATAACCAAGCTCTCTCTCTCTTTTTTCCTTTTCTCGCCTTGCAGGCAACGACACTAGCCCCGAAAGTTTCCTCCTGCACAATGCACTAGCCAGAAAACCCAAACGGATCCGCACCGCCTTTTCCCCATCCCAGTTACTGAGACTGGAGCACGCTTTTGAGAAAAATCACTACGTCGTCGGGGCAGAGAGAAAGCAGCTGGCGCACAGCCTCAGCCTCACGGAAACTCAGGTAAGTGCTCCCGTGCTCGTTTTTCCAGCCAGGCCCGAGCGGCGGCGGGCCCCGGCTCTCTTTCCTCGCCCGTTCCTTCCAAGACTCGGTCGGGTTGAGGGGCTCTTGTTTTTGTTTGGCGTTGTTTAAAGAGAATTGGGCGTAGGGACGTGTTTGGCGGAGGTCGGCTCGAGTCTCCTCTTGGGTGACCTGGTAAGAGCTTTCTCCCGTCCTAAAAGGTATTTTGTCGTTTGTCATGCCAAATCAAAAAACTGGCAAGAAAGAAAGAAAGAAAGAAAGAAAGAAAGAAAGAAAGAAAGAAAGAAAGAAAGAAAGAAAGAAAGAAAGAAAGAAAGAAAGAAAGAAAGAAAGAAATTCCAAGACCGCTTAATCTGTCGTGTGTGAAATTGATGTTTTTTGGACTGTGTGAAGTCGGTGTTTTGAACGCTAAGGCAAAGGTAGCAGTAGAATGTTTTGTCCCGCCTCATTTGTAAAATAATAGTAATCTTGAAGCTGCAATCCTAGCTGGGATCTACCTGGGGTCATCCGTAAGTGAATTAAGTGAGGTGTCTTTCTGAGTAGGGACCCACCCATTTACACTGTTAATCAAGAGAATTCGCCTTAAGTGGCTCCCACAACGTGCTGGTGGGATTATCAAGAGCCAGATTTCAAAATGTAGGAATAATATTCCTAACTCGAGTTTAATCCGTGTTCAAGTCAGCCAAGTTTCTCAGGAGTTTTAAACTGCTTACATGTGCTTTTGTGGCGGCTGAAAAGTTTCACTTGGATTTATCAGATGCCAATTTTGAATCTGTGTACAAGTAAAAGAGGATTTATTTTGTTGTCTTGGAAGTTTTCTTTGCTTGGAGAGAAAACCATTTTGTTCGAGGTCTCCTCCTCTCTTCGAAAATTTACTAAATTGTGAGTTTGACGATTTCAGACTGTAAGTGTCACCTCAGGAGGAAACGTCCGGTGTCTTTTTGGTGGTTTGCTTGCTTCCCAGATTTCGGAATTAAAGCCATTTTCCGTTGCCTCTACGCGTAGATTGATGCTCTCCCGATTTCAGTCCAAGTAACTGGATTCAAGCCAGTCCACAGACCGACCCTAAAGGCATATTCGTGTAAGTGAAAAAACTCACTTGATTACGATGGAACTTGCCTCCCAACCAAAGTACTGTACAGTATTTAGACTCCGAAGGCTGAATGGTCTTCCCGGCCCGCAATCCTCCCCCCATCTTTAGACCCCGCGCCTTTCACTGCGGCTTCTTAACAACGCTGTAAGGCGTCGGAGCTTTAACGGCCTGAAATCCAGTTTCTTGCGGGCCAGATTACTATATTTTCCGACGACTTGGAAATTGAGAAGTTTTTGGTTTTGTGTGTGCGTGCGTGTGTTTGTTTGTTTGTCTGTCTGTCTGTTTGTTTTTGGAGCGGGGTAGAGTTTGGGCGGAAGAGATTGTCGATCCCAGTGCAACCGCAGGATAATCTGAAGCGGGGTAGAGTTTGATCTGTCGATCCCAGTGCAACCGCAGGATAATCGGGCCGGGGAGTAGGGTGAAGAGACGGAAAGGCCACATCCAGCGATGTGTACAGGGCAATCTAGTGGAAGGAATGGCGTTGTTAGACAATTGCACAGGCCACTCTGTGTCGGTGTCTTGAAGAGTGTGCCAGGGAGAATGGTCTATTGTACTAACCTTAGGAGTGTGTGCGTGCGTGCGTGCGTGCGTGCGAGAGAGAGATGCGCGGGAGGGGGGCTGCGGGGAGAGAGATCAGATCAAATTCATCTTTAAGCCTTGCCTGTCCGATGGCCCAGCTGCCGAGTGCGTACCAGTGTCTGCGTGCGTCTTTTCCAAGCAGACGGTTGGCTCGACGGCGCTGTTAAGTTTGTGGTTGCTGCCGAGCAGACTTTTTCTTAGCCGCGTCACCCCTAAAATTAGTTCTACGGCATTTTCAAAGGCCCTTCTTTCTTTTCAAGGTGCACAAGGGCGGGGGGGGGGTTTGGTGGAATACAAAGTTCCCGCTTGCTCTGCGACCCGCTCTGCCTTTAAGGAAAGGAAAAAAGAAAAGAGGGCGGGGGCGGAGAGTGGAAGAGACAGAGCTTAGTTCAAAGTTCCCAGTAAACAGTAACGTTCTTTGGTCGGATTAAGTTGTAACACTTTTTCCTCCCTTGCCTTTCTTTGGGGCGGAGCGCGCGGGGCCGGGGGAAACCTGAAAGAGGGTGGACTTTTTGTTTTAGGAAGGTCTCTCCTAACACCCCTCTCATCGCGCGCCCCCCCAGTAAATGGATCGCCGCTTTGATGAGGTTCTTGCCGAACAAGGGCCCGGTCACAAGGCTTCTCTGGCCCAAGAAAGCAGTATTTAAGGTGGTCTTTGTCCCGCTTGATTCCGAAGCTGGTTGGGGTCTATTGTGGCAATGTCAGGGCCCCAGCCCCCGACAAAACGAGCTCCCCTTTGGAGATCGGCGTGGAGAAATGAACCGTCGTCCCCTTCAATTAGCAAACTGAAAAGCGAATTAAACTCACCCCCTTGTTCCCGGCTCGGCTCTTTAAATGGGAGACTTTTTGGAGAATATGTGGGGGGGGGCGAAACGCAGCCGGGATGTGAGGGGAAAGGGGGGGGACGTCTGGCAGCGAAGGGCTTCTGAAGGGGCAGCGAAGCGGTTTAAAGGAGCTTATTAAAATGGTCCCGTTTTCGGATTTATGCTGCCCCCCTTCCTTTTGCCCTCTTTGCATGTGCAGGGTCTTTATCAGGCATTTTCAGGCAGAATAAAACCAGAAAGTGCCCCCCTCCCCTCTTTAAATCGCGTTTACCTTTGGCTGCAACAAGGAGTGTGTATGTGTGTGTCTCTCTTTGGAGATAATTTCGGGATCAATGCGATCTGTAATTAAATGACTGACAAGGTCAGCTGCTTATGTTTAATTCAGATTTAGGCGATCCAAAGCAAATTCGCAGCGTTTTCCCCTCCTATCCCCGAAGGTACTCGGAAGACTTCCCCCACTGCCTGCCTGCCTGCCTGCCTGCCTGCCTGCCTGCCTGCCTGCCTGTCTGTCTGTCTGTCTGTCTATCTATCTATCTATCTATCTATCTATCTATCTATCTATCTATCTATCTA